TTGCTATGGCCTCCTAACGATATCCTGTTGAAACCAGGGGCTCACAAAATGCAGAGTGACGAAAGAGAGCTTATTTCCCACTCTTGCTTCATTAGATTTCAGGTTTGGCAGTGAAGGGCTAGAAAATGGAGCCAGATGGGCTAGGAAAGCAGTTGAAAGCGTAAAAGAGGCCTCAAGGAGACGTCAGATATTGCAGAGTGAGAAACTACCCATGCAGGCAAATGGAAACAAAAATGATGCCATTGACGCTATGGAACAGGGACGTAACAAACCTTGACATGCCACACTACACGAGAAGTGTTCCATCCTGTGCTCTGCAGATCGTGTTTGTGACACATTCCCTTGGATGAGGGCCACTGACAAGTGTTGTCTTTAGAAATTGCCTTCGGTAGTCCGGGAGTGGGAAGCAAAGGCTCCAATTGAGTTGTAGGAGAGAGAAAAATAATTATGCTTGACCAAGGGCCAGATGTCTGCCGAGCTATGCTAAATAGTTCTCGGCCTTTCCGTTTTGCTCAATTCTCAACAACGGTTTGATACTTTTGAAGCTGTTTTCCCCTTCTTGCAGATGAAGAGGCTGAGCCCTGAGGCTGTTAAATAATGTGCCCCAGTGAACCCGGCTGGTAAGTGAAGGAGGTGAGGTTTTACCCCAAATCTGGCTGAGGGGCATGCTTCTTCCTTCCCAGCATAGCAAGCTGCACCAGGGAGGAGAGAAATAACTCACGTATCTGGAATGGGAGATGCTTTGTCTTTTCTTTTTTTTTTAATTTTTTAAAACGTTTATTTATTTTGGGGAGACAGAGAGACAGAAGGCGAGCAGGGGAGGGGCAGAGAGAGAGAGAGGCACAGAATCCGAAGCAGGCTCCAGGCTCCTAGCTGTCAGCACAGAGCCCGACAAGGGGCTCGAACCCACGAAGCGCAGGATCATGACCTGGGCTGAAAGTTGGGTGCTCAACTGACTGAGCCACCCAGGCGCCCCCGAGAGATGACTCTTCTAATCCAGTGTTTCCAAAATGTACTCTGTGGAACACTAATTTTAAGATTTACTTACTCAAAAGGTTATTTGTTTGTTGTTGTTACGTAAATGTGTGTATTTTTATATCCCATGGCGCCTTCTCAGAACTTCAAATGCATATTAGCTCACTTACGTCTCTGGCAATTCCTATACGAAAAGAAACGAAACTGTTGAACTCCATTTAACTGAGCTTCAAACTTTTCTTCTGACCAAAGAGTTAGTTTCTGATGAAATCATGACTCTACCCAATATTTTTAAAGAAACACCGTTCCAAAGATCAACAAGACAGTCTTGATCTTTCTTCTATTTGACTGTTTCCACTGCAGTGGAGGAACCAACTCATGTTTGAAAGCCCACGTTGAGTAGGAGTTGGACTCCATTCATGGAGAATTTCAGGGCGCCTGAGATCCACGGATACAGAACATGTTTTATTGCAAACTCTGATACACAGAGTTCAATTTCTACCACTGTCACTTTCCGGATAGGCAACTTTGGAAAATATATCACCTCTCTGAGCCCTGGCTCAGAGGAAGCCCTGGCTTCCTTATTCGATAGGAATACCAAAGCCCACTTAACAAGATGCTTGTAACAGTTAGATAAAATGATAAAAACTCACATGGAATGCTCTGGAAATCAGGAAGACCCATGTCGCTATTTTAACCCTGCCATCCCTTTAAATAATCTCATTATTTCTTCATATGTCTTTTCTTTAAAAATTTTTTTTAAGTTTATTTATTTATTTTTGAGAGAGAGAAGTAGAGAGACAGCATGCACACAAATGAGCAGGGGAGAAGCAGAGCGAGAGAATCCCAAGCACGCTCCACACTGTCAGCACAGAGCCTGACACCGGGCCCCCTCTCAGGAACAGTGAGATCGTGACCTGAGCCAAAAATCAAGAGTCCTGGGGCGCCTGGGTGGCTCAGTCGGTCAAGCAGCTGACTTCGGCTCAGGTCATGATCTCACGGTCCGTGAGTTCGAGTCCCGCGTCGGGCTCTGTGCTGCCGGCTCGGAGCCTGGAGCCTGGTTCAGATTCTGTGTCTCCCTCTCTCTGACCCTCCCCTGCTCGTGATCTGTCTCTCTCTGTCTCAAAAATATATTAATGTTAAAAAAAATTAAAGAAAAATCAAGAGTCCTGAAGCTCAACCGACTGAGCCGCCCAGGCGTCCCTATGTGTCTTTTCTTTTGATAGTGTAAAATGAATTGCTAGAGGGAAACAGGAATGCCCTGAGGTTTCAGGATCACAGGAGAGTGACCAGTTAGGAAGGAAGGAAGCCAGCCCCAGCCTCTGTGGCCTCTTACTGTTATTACTTATTAAAGAAACACATTTCTTTAATAGGGTGCAGAGTATTTACCTTACTGTTATTACTTATTAAAGAAACACATTTCTTTAATAGGGTGCAGAGTGTTTACCTAGAACCAAGTCTTGCCATCAGGTGTAACGCTTAATTCTAGGAATTGTCACTAAAACTCAGAATGACATTCTCGTTATTAGTATTACCCGTTTTGCTCATAAAATTCCAGACAACACGTAGATTGTATCATGTGAAACAGCTGTCATAGGTCAAAACTAAGCAGAAATCAGCAATTGTCTCGAGTGCCACCTAAAACATGTCTGACTAGCCTCCAAAGGACAAGTCTAAGTGCCCTCGTGCAACACACTTCCGGAGGGAGCAAGTGGGGAAAAAATACAACCTATCATATTGAAAATGTGTGAGTTTTTTCCCTTCGTAAAATTTTGACGATGTACTTGAGACCATATAGTGAACTGAACCTTTATCGGAGAAAGTGCCTAACCGTCTCACAAAAAGGGAGACCTAACTTGAATTTCTGCTCAAATGTAAGGTTGATAAGGACATTTGGGTTTTTTTTTTTTTTTTACCCATTGCCCATTATTTAAGCCATCGTCCAAAATTGCTTCTGCCCAGTTACAGGCGCTCGGTAAATATTTGTTCATGACGCTGTCAAGTGAATAGACAATTATAATACCAGCATGGGCATTACAGGGACTTGTGTTCATGAAGTTCTAAGCTCCTCACATGTTTGATATTGCCCATACCGAACCCGGTAAAGAGCCACTTTACCTACTGCTAACTGTATAGGGGAAAGGTTGTTTAATCTTCTTGTGTATGACTCCCATGCTTCAAGTGGAAATCAAAACAAAATTTAATTCATTTGCTGTGATTTTCGCACCTCGTACACAGTGGAAATGAAAATCTAATTCCATCTACAAAATTATATTTCAGATACTTCTTTAACCCAAATAACAAAATTGGAACCTCATTTTAGCCCCTTACACGATGCTCTTTAAACTCTGACAACGAAAGACAACATCTTGGAGTCCTTCTATGACTCACTCATAGTGAGGTTATGTTTAGTAATATGAGTAATGTGATAAAAGCAGCAATTGGTCAAATATTTGCTCCCGCCCAGGTACTGGGGCTCGGCAATGTGATCCAACACCTCATGTTGAGAGAATTACTTTGAGTTCATGAAACAGTGAGAGAAAGGGGGCAGACAGGTCTTGGATGGCGGGCTAAGGAGATGGGACGTTAATTGTCAGAGCGGTGGGAGAAGACCCCAAGAGAACCCCGTGAGGGTCAACGGAGTGGGTGTCGAGTGGTAAGGTTTGCATATTAGGAAAATCTCTCTGACTGCAGGGCAGAGAAATCCGAAAGAGGGTGGAGGCTGGGAAGTCCTATTTAGGTGGCTATTTCTATAATCCAAATGGGAGAAAAAAGGGAAAGGGGCTAATACAGGAAGGAAGCCAGGAGGTGATCCTACTCCAGGATGAGAAATTGGAGGCAGAGGGAGGCTGAAAGAATGCCATACGTGGAACATGTTCTAGAGATGACCAGAACACTATCTTCTATCTCATTAGCTCTTGTGCCATTTGACCTCACTCTTACGCACCCAGTAACTCTGACATCCAGAAGCCGATTCTAACTCCCCTCCCCTGACTCTTGGCTGACCTCTTTGTAAGAAGGGAATACAGTAGCAAGGCCTCCAAGGCTAGATCAGCTTCTGGAAGGGTTGCATGGACTCTCCAGAACCTTGCCACCAAGAAGCCCAAGGCACATATGAAGTGTTCCAGTTGAAAATTTCAGCTGGGTTTGGTCTCCACATCATCCCAGTCCCATGTGAGTCCCATGTGAGAAGTCTCTAGATGATTCTAGCCCTTAGCCCTTTGCATAAGCCCAGCCATTCTCACATCTTAGAGCTGAGGCCCCAGATGCTGGTCAACCCCGCTGTGCTCTCCTTAAATTCCTGACTCACTTGCAAATTGTAATTGATCCTTTCTGTTCCCAGAGGGCCATGGTGAGAAGTCAGAAACAAATGGAAAATGGAACCAATGGGAAGGAAATCACGGAGTTTGTTTTGCTGTGAGAAAGACCATTGACATGTTAACAATCATCTCAAAGTTGATGGTATGCCACCTGGAGAGTCATCAGAGGAACAGTCTATCATGCAAAGGGCCAGAAGAGACCTCATGACTATCATCCTACATAAAAAAACCCAAACCAGTAGGTCTGAATAAATAATCAGGAACTTGGGGCAAGAGCCAAGAGTCCCAGAGAGCAAATAGAACCTACATTTTTTAAAAGTTATTTATTTATTAATATTTTAATTTTTAGTTTTTTTAAAAATTTATTTTAGAAAGAAAGCACACAAGTGGGGGAGAGGGGTAGAGAGATAGAATCTCAAGCGGGCACCACGTTCAGCTTGAAACCCAATGTGGGGCTCGACCCCATGACCCTGGAATCATGACCTGAGCCAAAATCAAGTGTCTGTCATTCAACTGACTGAGCCACCCAGGTACCCCAGAATCTACATTTTTTTTGTGTGGGAGAGAGGGAGGGAGAGCGTGTGTGTGGAGGGGTAGAGACAGAGGGGGGGAAGAGAGACAATCCGAAGCAGGTCCCACGCTGTGAGCATGGAGCCCGACACAGGCTCGATCTCACAAACTGTGAGATGGTGACCTGAGCCTAAATCAAGAATCAGATGTTTAACTGACTGAGCCACCCAGGCGCCCCCAGAATCTACATTTTCAAATAGATGGTGGGTAAATTTAACGTTTTTGGCTGGGAATCTCAATATGTGTATTATGTGATCAATTCAGGAGATCACATTGGATAGTTAGGTTTATTGATGCAATGAGATGGCAGAGTATTGCTAGAAGCAACTACATTTTAAAGACACATAGGTCCTGTCACACCGTCAGGGGCTGTGCTGTGCTCATTATTTGGTCAGTCTGTATCCCTGGCGGAGTTGTGAGCCCCTGGAAAAGAGGGCTATGTCGTTGATCTGAGCACTCCTAGTACCCAGCTCAGTGCTTTGAGTATTCAATGTATGTCTACTGATTTTGGTCCACCTGCATGTATTATGTGTGTAAAAGTCCTGTAGGAACAGCATGAGCCAATGCAGCCATTCAATACAATGAGTCTCCGAACTTGATTTCCAACCCAAGTTATCACTGGAATAAAATGTGGCTCACCACCAAGCACTCACCTCTGACCACGGGCTTCCCTTAGGGGATTCACCCGCACAATGGGGAAAGGTTATCTTAATCAATCGACTCTTATCCTGCCAGTTGAACGTCCTTGCACACTTTCCACCTCTCTGCATACTGTGGTTCACGTCTCTAGAATGGAGATGACTATCTACTCAAGGTTTTGATGGAGCATGAAGTGAATTAAAGACCGGAAGCACTTTGTAGTGTTGGCATTGACGAGGAACTTGACATGAGCTAGTTGCATCCCCTATGCTTCCTCCTCCCCTCCTTCCAGCTTCCGTCACTTCTGGACTGGCCTGAAGAGCCATAACTGAAGAGAGATATGAATTATTAATGCAGCTACTCCTTCATCACTTACTTAACCCCAGCTGCGAGTTCTTAGTAGACATTCCCTCTCAGCCTTTTTCCAGCTGGAGAAGCTCCACCCCTAGTTCCCAGGTAAGAAGGGACAGAGGTCATTTGCCCCAGGCCACACAGCTGGGAGGGACTGACCTAAAACAGAACCCAGGAAGTGGTTTTGCAGGGGCCCCAAAACGGATGGGTAGGTTTTCAGAAATTCTGTGAGTTAATGTTCGTTGGACAGAGCCATTAGTAAAATTACATGATAATAAGCTTAGAATTAAATAAGTCATCTTAAAAACAAAGATAAAAATACCAAAAACTCATGACTTTCTAATTTTTTTTCTACAGTATGCTGTCATCAATGCCAGGAGTCAGCAAAACACTACCCGCCGGCTAAGTCTATCCCATCACCTATTTTTGTAAATAAAATTTTATTGGAACACAACCATACCCATTTGTTTTATTTATAGCTGTTTTCTAACTAAAATGACAGAGTTGAATAGTTGCAACATAGATCATAGGGCCTGCAGAGCCTCAAGTATTTACAATCTGGCCCTGACCAATGCCTGACTTAGCTCTTGGGGTTATTTATGTGCATTTTATCTTAGGTTGGAAACGCTACACAATGGCGTGCTACTGAACAGAACTTCCCAATTCTGCATCCGGCGATATCACATTGGTAGTTTGAAAGTGGCCATGGTGGGGGTTTTCCATCATGAAAACTGGCAAACACCACAGATCAGAATTTCTTTTTTGTTTATCGTCTGCTTTGGGACAGCCAATTGTTGAGCATGAACCAGTATATCACTGAACCCTGGTGTCTCAAACGTGATTCTTCAGTAGAGTCAGGGTTCCATCAGAGAAGAATATAACTATGATTGATGATAGATAGATAGATAGATAGATAGATAGATATAATAGATGATAGATAATATAATAGATATAGTAGATAATAGGTGATAGATAGATAATAGATGATGATAGATAGACAGACAGATCATCTTTGCAAGACTGTTGTACAAATGTTTCCCATTTGATTGATTTAAACTTGGGCACCTGGAAAAACCTTCCAAACCAAGCAAGTAAATATTATTACAGGATGTAAGCTAGCCTTTTGTAACACTGTTGTCTTTCTGTTTGATACGGGAACTTCAAATTCACAGAACAGGCAGTTAGGCAGTTAGGAAGGGAAGGTGAACGTAAAGCTGAGGGGAACAAAGGCAAATTCGAACTCACAGGCACAAGCTGGAGCTTCTGAGGATGGGCTAAATCCTGGGTCAGTTCTTGTTGCCTATGACCTTGGCGTGGGTGTCCCGCAGAAGCTGGGTCCTTCATCACAGAACGGAGCACACACACCTGTCCCAGCGGTCAGAGACTCCTGCTGGTGACCGTAGCTCAGTGAATGCTATTGCTGCTGCTGATGACAATGACAGTGTCACCTCACGGCCCAATGTCTGGCTCCAGAGCCTCCTCTGTCTACAGCGGTGTCCACACTGGGGGAGGGGGGTCACGTTTAGAACACTTTCCTCCATTCCACCTTCACTCTCCCACCAGCATACAAACTCCCAGCTGGTCTTACCTATGCTACTCATAAGAATATTACTAAGGGAGGGGTGCCCGGTTGGCTCAGTCGTTGAAGTGTCTGACTTTTGATTTCAGCTCAGGTCATGACCTCATGGTTCCTGGGTTTGAGCCCTCCCCATCGAACTCTGCACTGATGGAATGGAGCCTGCTTGGGCTTCTCTATCTCCTTCTCTCTCTGCCCCTCCCTTGCTTGCACTCTTTGCGCAGTCTCATTCTCTCTCAAAATAAATAAATAAACTTTAAAAAAAGAATATTACTAAGGACACCCCACATATACCCCCTCATTGTAGAGCCCTGTGTACCTCCAGAAGCTTCATGCCCTTCTTTGCTCCAACACTGACCAATTACTTATGGTCTCTGGAAGACAGCACATCATGTCCATCCAAACGTACGTCTCATTAGAAATGTCTCTTCCTTAGAGAGATCACTCTAGACCACCGTGCTGTGCTCTCCTTTTCCTAGCCATTACTTTCACCTCCCTTGCCCTGGCTTCTTGTTTTCCGTAACACTTGTGTATTATACGTTTTTTGGCACATGTCTTCCTAATCCGTATCCCCTACTAGAAAGAGCGTCAGGTAGACCCTTTGTCATGCTCATCGCTGTATCCTTAGCACCAAGAATGGTGCGTACCTGAGGGCTTTGGCTGACTAAGTATTTGTTGAGGAAAGGAGCAAAGGATAAATGAAGGAACACGTACATCCCCCTGTGCTCTCATAGTCTAGCCTCTCTGACATGAAAGCCTTCCCCTCTCTTGTCTTCTGCGGGAATTCTGATTGGTGCCTCAAAATCTATCTCAACCACTAACTCCATTGTAATGCTTCCCTTGATTTTCAAGTTGGGGCGATGCTCTTTGCCTCTGCTGCCTTCGCGACTTGGACGTAAAATCATCACAACATGTGCAAACATCTAGAAAGTTGTCTCACATGCAGACTCTCAGTCCCCCAGGACGGAGACAGCACTTGGGTGGGGCCGGCATAGGTTTGCATAGGCATTTGTAAGGCCCTGGGTAGATGATTGTTGGACTGAACCCCCACAGGTCCTCGGAGTGCTGCACTGATGACTGACATGGTAGGGGGGGCATGTCTCAATCAGAGACTCAGACCCCCGACCCCCGCAGAGAAGGCAGAATCTGCTGTCCATATCGCTCATAGACCTTGGCCTCAGGAATATGTTGCTCTGCTGCCCAAGGATCACACAGAGCAGGTGTTAAGGATGAACTATGTTTTTGCTTGGGAAGTAAAATTCTGGGAAACTGCATGTAAAAATCAACCCAGGCACCCGGCTCATGACAGCCTGCCAATTCCGTCTGCTAGCCTCCTGCGTGCATCCATTCTGGGTTTTGAAAAAGTCAGAGGAGGCCTGGAGGTTCCAGAAGAATTCACAGTGCAAAGCAATTTGTGGGCCAGAAACGTCTTCTCTCTCTCCGAATTAGACCATTCTTCTTACTTTTCTTTTTATGTCATATGTAAAGAGTGGATTGAATAACTGGGGCAAATGAATGTGGATGCACAAAGCCCCAGCTGACCCTGGGCAGACATGTTAGTGGTGAAGTTGACTAAAGAGGAAGGGGGCTCGGGATGTGGGGAGAATAAATGGATTAAAGTTGAACCCTTCGCATTCAAGGTTGGTTCCGACCAGAGACACAAAAAAACCGGGTATGTGTTCACACCTCAACTCTTGGGACAGGGCTTGGCTTATTGTTTTTGAGATTGCTCTAACACTTTTGTGTGGCTTCTAAGGGAATATATGATCACACACATACACACACACACACACACACACACACATACACACACCCTTCCCACCCTCTGTCCTTATCCTCTGTCAATTTCTTTGATCTTTGCCTTCCCTAAAATTGGTGAATTGGTGTACATAGTCTTACAGAGGAGACTAAAGCCTGGCCACGTTGGACATTTTCTTGCAAAAAAATAAGTCACTAGGCTATAATCCAAAAAATGCCACCTTTCAGCTAGGAATCACTAGAAGCAAGCTGCCACCACTCACTATCTAATTAGGAAAAGTAAATCCGACAAGACGTTTGAGGCCAATTTCCCGAAGCGGTGACTATCAAGAGGGTGGTGGGCTCCTATAAAAGACAAGTCCTCACTCGAATACAAAAGGCGGAAGAAAAGCATTTCATGGAGACAGAATAGGGGAAAAGTCCCATTTTTCTCTTGCTTTCTGTTCCCTGTGAGAATCAGAGTGTGCACAAAACCTTGCAAACAATGGGCCCAGCTGCATGGGGCAATAAGGCAATTTATTAGGGAGATGACATTTTTAATGAGAAACACTTGCTGGGAGAGAACAAAAGGGCTTGTTTGGTCAGAAAGATGCTCTTGAATCTCTTCTGAAGTGCATGAAAAAGTAATTTCATTTACGCGTCATACCCCGAGCAGTGGAATTTCCTCAGGCTCCAGATGTCGGGCACAGATGCTGAACAAATGGAACAAATGTCCTGAGAGTTAAAAAAAAAAAAAAAAAAAAAAAGAGCTCAAGGGAACTTTATGAGCTTTGTGGCCAAGAAAATCATTAGTAAATAATGAGCTTAAGAAAGAAAGGCCAAGGTTGGCAATATGTTGCCAGATATACAAAATTATTCATAATCATCTGAAATCGAAGAGATCAGTTTTCAACTTAGACAAATAGAAATTAGAGATGTAGCTGCTGTAGCTGGGACTTCCTCGCTGGCTTTCTGAAAATGATTTGGCGGATATTGTTTTGGCTGGATTCCCAAAATGATTAAAAGTGGTTTGAGATTTATAGTTTGAGATTTGAAAATTTAAAACACAAAGATTATCACCTTATAGACATAATTCAGATGCTTCCAGAAAGGGCAATGCCACCATTTCAGCTGGGATCCCTCTCTGAGGAGTGCTCACACACACAGCAGAGGCAGATGCATCCGTTGATAGCTTTCTAGAACAAGGAGAAGATGGATCAAGGTACCTCTGTGAGTCAACCACAGGGCTCAGCAAACATGAGGCGTTCCATGGAGAGTGTCAGGAACTCTATATGGGATTTCCTGAGCCAGCTTCTCCCTCGACAGCTCTGGTGGGAGCCCGCATAAGTGGGTTTGGGAGATCATGACTCATATAGGGTGTTTTAGGTTTTTAGACTGGACCAACTGTGTTTGAAAATTCAGAACAAAATGAGCCTCTGATTCAAGCATCAAGAGATGTTCACACAACACACGTCATGGTCTTACAGGAGTTAACGAAGATACAGATGATGGGACCGTAGAAATTAGGAAAGTAAAAAAAAAAACAGCCAAAAGATGGAAAAGATTGTTATTACTACCTGTGGGCTAAAAGGACCAGATGGCCTCTACACGTCTCTCCAACTCCCTGTATAGCAGAACTCCAAGCCCCTTGATATTTCAGTACGACGGCCATCTTGTTATCATAGCCACAGCCATACTTTTATCAGCACTTACCAGGCACTAGTAACCATCTATAGCTATGCATACTCCTTAACTGTCACCAGTCCTCACAAGAGCAAATACCATCATCCACCCTCGTATTTTAGGGATGATGCACCGAGTTCAGAAAGGTTAGGTAAATTGTCCCCAGTCCCACAGCCAGTGATAACCTCAGCAGGTGATAATCTGCTCATGCATACATTCACACCTGCAGCATTGGGGCCAACCAAAGGGGAGATCTGTAAACTGCGGGGAGGGGCAGCCCCCCCCCCCCAGACCAGTATTTAAGAGATCGGGCCAGGGTGTTGCACCATAGAGCAATTTTCTTTGGCTCTGGGAAATGGTTTTTAAATAAACCCCTCCAAAGCGATAAATCATCCTCTATCGCTTATGCAGATGGGTGATAAGCAAAGTCAGTGAAGTAATGCCTGTACGTATATTAA